AAATTATTTGTTGTTGTTTGTTGTTGTTGTTCGAGTTCTGATCGCTCAGTGATGATACTTATATGTCTGGAATCTGTGGAGTCTCATTTTTCTAATCGATATCTTGTTTGTGCAGATCCGATAAGTAATAAGGGTATTTTACCATGATTTCTGTGCTAAGTGCGTTAGCATTTTCTCCGCTCTGGGCTAATTCAGAGCCTTTGTTATTACCCTTTTATTTCGTTTAGCTAAAAATGGTTAATATTGTCTGAAAGCTGAGTTTCTTCCCGTTAAGTGGGTATAACACATTCATAGTTTAACTAATGTCAACTTTGTTGTTGCATCAGCTAACCGTTAGCCAGCTAACGTAATGTGACTTTACATGGCAATGCTTTGAATAGACACAGCTGTCGCAATCTGTTTAGAAACTTTTGTTTTAGGTTGCGATATAATATCTCCAATGCCCTTTATCTTTCTCACACAGTGCTTTGAAGCTTGAATCCTCACCTGTCTCTCCACCCTGACAAATCTACCCATCATGCTTTGGTCTTCGGCATCTGGCAAGGACACGGCTTTGGCAATGTCGGCTTCATGCCTGCAACACAGGGACAGTTAGTGGACTTCACAGAAATGTGTTAAAGGAGGAAATAACAGTATCATCTGCGTAAAGCATCAACTCTGGAGGTAAACAGTATTCAGTATCATTGAAACTGTTAACTGTTAAAGAGAATCCAGACAAAGGGTTAGGGTTAGGGTTATGTAAGCAAGATACATTTATAGTTAACATTTGAACTAGCTTTAATACAGCACATACATTGAAGTACTTGCAGTTTGGTTAGTCATTTTCTTTGTAATATAGGCAAGGCAATTCAAAGTGCTTCATATACTATTGCATTACAATGATAAGATTACCTTGTCAATTCATTATGTTTAAACAGAGTGACTGTACCTGGGTGACTGATTGGACGGGTAGGTAAAGGGCGTTTTCTGAGTTTTCTTAGTTTTTGGAGTGAGGGGGACTCCAGGGGCAAGAATCATGTCGATCCTGAACAGAAACAGAATGAGCTTAAGATAGATGATACTTTTCTTGACTCAAACAAACTAGCCCAGCTGGCGAGGTTACTGACCTTGTCTGGAGGTATTTAATTCTACAGAGCATGTCCAGGTGTCCAGCAGAGTACTGTTCGATCACGTCTTTGACGTCGTAAGGCCTCAGAGTTTCCTTAAACCGCTTCTTGTTCAAGAGGAATTGCATGATCCTGTGAGAAAAATTGTTTTAAAATCAACCATATGGGGCATGTTTACAACCTCTCTGATAGCGTGATAATTCTTGTTCTTGTCCTGTTGAGATTATTGTGTTGGCATGTCCAAAGTTCTAAACACTTAACTTCTTTAGACACTCAAATGATCTATTTGTTAGATCCAAGCCACTGTAAAAATCTTTATTCATTTATCCATTTATGGCCGCTTATCCTGGTCCAGGCCGCTGTCCGATGCGTTTCCAGGCCACATGTTCATGGTTTGGCGTTCCCAAATTAAAACTATAAATGTAACTAGGAGGGATCCACCACCTCTACCGTTTTCCTGTTTCCAACATGACCCATTACCCAACAAAACAAACAAAGGTCGACTAGACAATGGGAAGCGTGAAATCCAACCAGTTCCAGATCAAACCTGACTGTCAATCTCCATTTTACCATCAGTCATGACTCAAAGATACACTCCCTCCAAACCATTTCAATCCATCATTGTTAAACCAGGATCTAACTTAGCTATATATCGTTGGCAGTCCAAATCAGCAATTATTAAGGATGAATTAGGAAATCACACTTACACACTAGTACCTGGGATCAAAGACCAACACCTTATCTTTCTGATTGTACTTGGGATTAAACTTGACATCTATCAGTTCTTTGAAAGTCTTCTCCAAACTTGAGTCCACCCTGCCACCCACTGAGCTCCTTCTTTTGTCCCAAAGATCTCCCACTTTGAGCGGACTTAAACCCAACCTTTCCCAGTGTCTGTGTTTGCTGCTCGAGCTTCAGTGTTTGGCGGAATATCTTGGGTCCTGAAACTAAAACCCGACAGGTCTGAGGATCCCATTCAGACCCATTCATCCCTGAAATAATGGTGTGGAAGAAAGCAGCACTTTCACAGGGTTAATCACTCATCTCACAGGCCCTCACAATAGATTGAATTCCTGCATTATGTCCGCTGTGTGGCCTATGGATTTACCAGCACACTGTAAGCATGAGTAAGGCCGCTCTTCACTGTCTGGTTCCCACTGATAACTATTGTTCTCCTGCTATAATGCTCTGTGCTGTATTTATTTCTCAGTCTTCCAGCAGTTTGTATCTAAATCAATCAATTCTGGTAAAATGTGGTCAAAAGTTTCCCATGAATAAAAAGAAATCCAATTAGATTTTGGTTTCTGACATATACACTTATTTAAAAGAAAATCATTGTCAACATGATCACTTCCATAACGTGTATTCCGGTGCAGATCTAAATGCAAACTAACATCTTCGATTTTATTGAGCAGTAATTTCCAACAGTACACTGAAAAGTTATTTTGACCTTCAGCGTTTTTCACCATACGTTTTCTTCTGTATTGCCAACATTTTACACAATACTAACAAAAACAAGGATCGACAGGGAACCTCAAACCCCAGGCTAAAATAAATTCTCTGCCCTCTAAGTGGAACATTTGTAATCTGATTCACTCTGACTACATCCATTGTCACTTATCACAACCTGGAGTACACTTCTGCATCAAAGCAGCAAAGAAAAAGAAACCTGGAGGTCAACAAAAGCAAGATTTATAGCTGCTGTCAAGGAGTTTCTGAGTGCTTTCTGGTTTCTGGAACATCATTATATTTGACCTGCAACACAGTATATTATATAGCCAATAGCATCATCCCTTCGAATAACGTGAAACTATATTTTTATCTCATGAAACGATATAACGTCAATCTTTTAAACGATCAGGGACAATTGACGCTCTAATGCTGTTTTGTTGACACTTTGAAGGAGCACAGAGCTTCATGAAATGTGAATTTAAAGTTCCTGACCTGACTGCTCTGATGACCAGTTTCAGTGTTGGGATCATTTCCTCCATGAGGATATCTGGAGGGAAGCCTCGCTCCTCTAAGGCTGAATCTGCCAGGGCTCCAGAATCTGACAAAGAAAAACAAACAGTTTGAATGACAGTGGCCATGTTGTCTGGGACCAGTTACCACATTTAGAAATTAAACCTTGTCGAACACTGTTAGAACAATATCACTCTTCACCGGCTTGAGCTTGAATCTCAGGATCCATGTATCTGTGATCCTCTCCAGAATGGAAGGAGTCATCACATACAGAGCATCAACTAGTTCCTGAACAGTGTCCTTCACATGCTGATATCCAAGAGAGGGAGTTACACAGTCACAAGATGGAGGAATGTCGGTTCTTCTAGTAATCATACATTCTGTCACGAACAAAATACTGACTTTTTTCTCAAAATGTTGTTTTTTTTCTTCAAGAATTTTTTTTTCTTTCTCAAAATCTCAAAATTCTGAATTTTTATAAAAATTCTGACTTGTTCACAAAGTCTCCAAAAATTCTGCCTATTTCTCAAAATCTCAAAAAATGCTTACTTTTTCTCAAAATCTCAAAATTCTGACTTTTCCTAAAAAATCCCCCAATCATGTATTTTTCTCAAAATCATGTATTTTCTCAAATTCATGTATTTCCTCAAAATAAAAATAAATTCTGACTTTTTCTCAAAATCTAAAAATTCTGACTTTTTCTGAATACTTCAAATTGTTACTAATCCCTGGTCCCCGGCTTGAGCTTGAACCTCAGGATCCATGTATCTGTGATCCTCTCCAGAATGGAAGTAGTCATCACATACAGAGCATCAACTAGTTCCTGAACAGTGTCCTTCACATGCTGATTTCCAAGAGAGGGAGTTCCACAGTCACAAGATGGAGGAATAGAAAGCAGTATTCAATGTTTACTTCAGATTAGCTCCACGTCAGAAATGATCATGCTTGTCATATGTCTCTCTCCATAGAGGCTGAATCATCATGTTAATCACATAGCTATCATATGCCTCAAACAGTCCTGATGCTCTTCTAGGTAATCACACATCCTGTCATGTTCACAGCTACAGTTGGGATACCTTTGTCGAAGTCAACTTTATTGTCAATCTTTCAGTTTGCGTGAGAGAGAGAGATTGAAATAAATATGTATATCCTATACTGTATATACACAATCAACCGACACATGTATACGCATGCACACATTAAGACATAAATAAAAGCACAACAATCAATATATATAGGCCCTAACAGTCACTTCAATATCTTTGGGAAATGTACATTAGTGTAATATTGTCCATAGCAGTGCAAAAAGTGTCTGTTGTTGGATTTGAGTGTGTGTGGGGTGTTACTTGCATTATTTTGTAACAGTTTGTAGTAGGGCTGAACGATATATCGTGTCATGGCGATAACCGCATGCACGATATTCACATCGCAGGGACGTGCGATTTTATTAATTGTTT